GACTGGATATGGTGACTCAACACAACGGTCGCATTCTCCACCCGAACCTGGAGATATTCTACCTACAGGCATGGCTCCTGAATGGTTCCACCACGATGAAATAACTTTATCAGAACAAGTTAAACACATGTTATTAAACAGCAGGAAATTGACTATGAGAAATACCCTACCTTCAAAAATGGAGGTTCTCCGCCTGTTGTCAAGGAAGACACCTGACAAGCAATTCAGCACCACCACCATCAATTTTATAATAACTATTGGAGCTGAAAAGCACTGGCTTAACAATGAGCTCCATCAGAGTCCATCTTGCGGCAATTTCAACATTCCACCGAGAGATCGAACTTTGACGTTCACACCCCCAACTACAAAATGCTTCCTCAAGGGTTTCATAAATGTTTACCCAGATGTTCAATGACTTACACCAACATGGGACCTCAACCTGGTACTGAAATGCCTCACCAGACCACCATTCGAATCATTAGCCACCAGCTCATTACTCCACTTATCAATGAAAGTAGCCTTCCTGGGCACCCTTACCTCGGCCAGAAGGATGAGCAAGATTGGAGGATCTGCCATGAGTGCCCCTCCACAACATTCTTCAAGGACAAGATCACGCTAAGTTCACATCCTAAATTCTTACCGAAAGTAACTTCAGCATTTCACATGAACCAATCTATTCACCTACCGACATTGTACTCTAAGCCTCATGGTACTCCAACAGAAGCCGCCCTACACACTCTAGACATTAGAAGGGCGCTAGTGTTCTACCTTGAAAGAACCAAACCTTTCCGGAAATCCCCTAGACTTTTCATCTTTACTACTGAGTGCTTGAAAGGAGACTTTATATCTACTCAGAGATTATCCAAATGGATTTCCACATGCATTCAAACATGCTACCATATCTGGAATACAGAACTACCAGAGCACATTAGAGTACATTCTACTAGGTCCATTTCATCTTCAGTAGCATTCCTTAATAACGTTCCAATACTAGAGCTCTGAAGGCGGCCACTTGGGCCTCCGTCCACACATTCGCAAAGCACTATGCAGTCACACAGGACTCCAGGGCTGATGCCATAGTGGGTCTCACAGTACTTATCTCAATGACTCGAACGAACCCAAAGTCCCTGCAGCCCTTAGAGGAGCACCCACAGGGACACTACTCAAAGGAGGAGGAAAAATTACTCACCTTGTGCAGTAACTGGAGTTATTTGAGATGTGTGTCCCTATGGGTGCTCCACTACCCACGCACCTCCCCTCTACTTCGGCGTTCACAGTGAGGACCCTGTAGTAGAGAAGGAACTGGGGGCTCAGGTCATGCGTGCACTACATGTGGCACCAACAGCACCGCGAAACACCAACTGCGCATGCGTGAGACCATAAATCTCCGATCGACGGCGCCGGGATGCACTGCCCCCTAAAGTGGAGCACCAACAGGGATACACATCTCAAAGAACTGCAGTTCACTGCACAAGGTGAATAACCTTTCCTTCTGCTCCTCTACATTTGAAGACTGTTCACCAGACTTCCTCACTTAGGGAGGCTCTCTTAGAGCACCTTTAAACTTGGGACCTATGGCCCGCACAAGAAGCTTGTCTCTACATAAACATCCTAAAGCTCAAAGGCTTCTGTCTGGCATGAATGCCCTAGAAACTAATGATATACCTGAGATACATCAATGATATTTTCATCATCTGGACAACAACTTAAACTCCCTCATAGATTTCCACCACAACTTCAACCACCACCACCCATCCCTTAAACTCTCTCTGAAACACTCCCACACTAGCATCAACTTCCTGGACACCCTGGTCAGCTTCAACAGTGGAACCCTACAGACAACTATATACGAGAAACCCACAGATCACCATACCTACCTTCATAGATCCAGTAACCACCCCAAACACACCAAGAAATCTGTTATCTGCAGCCAGGCACTCAGATACCACAGAATATGCTCTGAGGAGAGTGTCTGGGTATACACCTCAATTCACGCAAAACCACCTTCACCAAACAAGAACACTCCACCAGAGAAGTAGATTGCTTCATGGAACAGGTCATCCAAATACCCTGAGAGAACATGCTTCAATACAGAAATAAACCCTCCTCTAACCACACCCCCATAATTGTCACCTAACACCCAATGTTGGAACCCACATGGAGGTACCATCAAAACCACCACAATCCATACTTGATGGGGACCCCATCCTGAAAGATATATCTTTCTTGAAACTCCTCTTCTGGTCTTCAAACAATTCCCTAACCTCTCCAAGCTCATAATCAGAAGCAAACTCCCCATAGACCAAAACATACCAATTCAAAAGTGGCACCAGACCCTGTCACAACAAGAGATACAAAACCTGCAGACGTATCTCCACTGCTACAGTGATCAACACCCCCCGCACCTTTCAAGATCCCTGGGTCCTACACATGCCAATCACAACATGTGGTGTACCTCATCCAATGCACTAAATGCCCCAACAACAAATATGTTGGTGAAGCCAGACAATCACTATGCTCTCAAGTGAACTTACACAGGAACATGATAAAAGACAAAAAACACCATATCACCTGTGGTTGAATGCTTTTTACAAAATGATCACTCTGTATCTGACCTATCAGTCTTCATTCTCAAAGGAAACCTTCACAACACTTTCAAAAGATGAGTTTGGGAGCTTAAATTCATAACTTTGCAAGGCACTAAAAATCATGGATTGAGTAGACACACTGGATTTATAGCTTATTACAACAATCTATAACCCACTAAAAATTCCCCCAGCTGGCTTTCCCTCCTGCCTTTCCTTTCCCCTCTATCACTGCAGGGTTGTTCACCTTGAATGGTCCCTTGAAATATGTATGAACTACTTATGCTAAATAATCTGTTCCACTTGTATTTAGCTGTGACACTGAGTATGTTTCCCAGACCTGAAGTAGAGCTCTAAGTAAGCTTGAAAGCTTGTCTCTCTCAGCCACAGAAGTTGATGCAATAAAAGATATAACCTCACCCGCCTTGTCTGGTATGAAAGGCATTTGTACTGTTACTCCAGGAATCTATGACCATGTGCTGATAGATGCAGAAATAAGGGAGCAATACTGCAGCCTCCCCTACACTAACCTTGCAACTACTCCACAACTCCTTTTTTTGGGTCACGACCCTTACAATTATAACACCGTGAAATTTCAGATTTAAATCACTGAAATAATTAAATTTGCAATTTTTAAAATCCTATCATCATGAAATTGACCAACATGGACCGTGAATTTGGTAGGGGCCCCAATTATGATTTGTTCCTTCTACTAATCCCTCCCCTTATCTTTCTCCTCCTCCCTTCATCATTTACTTTTTCTTCCTTTATGCCAACAGTATATTGTAACAGGTAGATGCCATTAAGCATGCCCACTTGGGGTATGGTGTGGCCTTGCAGTCCTGCTGCCCTCTTATTCTGTTGAGGTCATGCAATGATTTTCTCAGACTTGGGAACAGAACAAGATACACTCTTTGTGATGTTTTAACAACTTATTTTACAGAGTATAAAAAGCCGCATCTCATTAAGCCCCTCAACTCCAACCCTTCTTCTGACCTGGGGGCTAATGCTGACAAGCACTCTCTTCCAAGTTCAGGAGTTCCTAGCACCCATCCCAGAGCTGGGTTATCATGCAAAACAAACTCCTGCTTCTCAGATGAGGAGTACATCCACAGCGCTCCTCTTGGAGCAGGATTATGCTTCAGGCCAGCTGGCCCCTTTTTTACTCCTTTCACGTGTCAGCTTGGAGGTGAACAGGCCATACTTATCCTCCTGCTAGATCAGTGGTGGGCAACCTGCAGGCCGTATGCAGCCCGTCAGGGTAATCCGCTGGCAGGCCGCCAGACACTCTGTTTACATTTGCATGGCCGCCCAGAGCTCCCAGTGGCCGCAGTTCGTTGTTCCCCAGCTTATGGGAGCTGCGGGAAGCGGTGCCGGCTGCAGGGACGTGCTGTCCGCTGCTTCCTGCTGCTCCCATTGGCCGGGAATGGCGAACTTGGAGCTGCAGGCGGCCGTGCAAGTGTGAACAAACTGTCTCGCAGCCTGCCAGCGGATTACTCTGGTGGGCCGCGTGGGGCCCACGGGCTGCCCACCACTGTGCTAGAGTCTTTGGGAGCACTTCCCTCCAACTGAGCCTTTTATCAGACCCAGGTATGTTTTAGCTAGTTAGCTGCCTAGATGGCTTTGCTCTCCTTAAAGAATCCTGTCACAGGTAGATATAAGGGGAGTCAGGGCCAGCCACCCTATGACATATATACATCCATCATACACACTCTCGGGCACTGAGCCATATCACATTTGCTTCCTAATATCTCTTTCCCCTCCTCTCGAGCTCTCAAAGACCATCTACCTGGTACCTTTCACATGAGGGTTGAGTTTCCTCTCCCCAGTACTCCATTCTGAGCACCTCCAATGAAGAGTTTTGGGTCAAGGGGGAGTAGCAATGGTGGGAGTCTCCTCCGGGACATGGGACCAGGTGCATTCTTCCTTGTTCTCCACATGGGGTGAAGATTTTCTTCTTGCAACAGAACATGGAAGGGGAGCTACTGGTGGGGATCAGCTGCCACAGTTTAGCCAAATGACTTCAAACATGCAGGCTACTCTGTTTTGAGCAACTAATCCCCAAGTCCAGGGGGAAAGAGCAGGAGGGGGCTGGAGATCAGACAGGGTGTCATGGAGGAAAAAGCTTAGCTATGGAAAAGAGGGCAGCTGGCAGGAAAGGAGCAGGTTCATTTTTGTCACTCCCTTTATGCTGCTCTCTGCAGCCAGGCAAGCTCGAGAATGTTCCACAGGGGATTGGGATGGGCAGGAACGTGGGACTCCACATCCAACATGCAATCCTTTGAAATGAACTCTGCAAAGGTAAATGACATGAAGAAATAACAGTGCAGCAGATTTCAAAAGACTGTCTGTTAATTCAAAAGTTTCATGGTGTTTGTGTGTTTTAATAGTTGTTACTCCCTCTTTCCTTTACAGGTTAAGGATTTTTCTGTTGAGACACTGCTTCAACATGATAATTTAAACATGGCTTTGGATAGCTGTTACAGTGGCGATAGTGTGGTCATTTTCCCGGGAGAATATAAGGCTGTAAACCTCTCCATGTTAACTGAGGATATTATTATTCAAGGTCAGTAATGCATTCTACTTACTTTTAACGTTACAAATTGTAACTATATAAAGCAGTCCTTCAGATCAGCAATTACTACAAGTAAATAGGGAGGCAGTGGGGAACCGACTGTGAATTCTAATGGGATTAGTAACACTGAATCTGAAAACAGACAGAATAAAAGTTGTGCTAGTCACCCCGGTGTAAAAATACTGTGCAACTGAATGCAGTATATAAGGAATTTAGTGATATATTAATTCAGTAAGAATTGTTAGGGCTCCATGTTTGTCACAGAAGTCACGGATTCCATGACCTCTGACTTCTGTGGGGGCCAGTGTGGCTGACCCCAGGGCCAGCTGCTCAGGTGGCCCTGGGGACAGCCACACTGGCCCCTCCTGGAGCAGCCCCATAGCCAGCCGCTGGTGGAGTGACCCTGGGGACAGCCTGAGCAGCAGGCCCCGGATGGCCAGTGCAGCTGCTGCTGGTGGCCCCTGGTGACAGGAGGCATGTGGGTGTCCCTTGGGCAGGAGCCTGAGGCAAGACCCGCACTGCTTGAAGCCCTGTCCCCCAGCAGCCGTTCCCGGTGCAGCCGGTGCTGGAGCTGGCCCTGGCCCCCCCAGCAGCAGCCCCCCCGGGATGACCGCTCCCCATCAGCGGTACCTTTAAGATTTAGTCAGAGGTATTTATAGTAAAAGTCATGGACATGTCACAGGCCGTGAATTTTTGTGTATTGCCCATGACCGGTCCATGGCTTTTACTAAAAATACCCGTGACTAAATCTTAGCCTTATTCATTGTTAAGAAACCAGTAACGTAGTAGTCTTGTTGATGAATGGCAGCATTCCTAGTTAACAAGTGAATATGGAAGTAGTAAATGTGAGGACTAAAATCTTTTTATATCCTTTGACAGGTTAGCAACTAGATTTTTTTTTCTTCAGGTTACTCAACCAAGAAACTGAAAATTAAAACCAAAACTCAATAAATAGCCCCAAAGTATATGTCCCTCTTCACTGAAGCCTTCTGAAAAAAAGACGGTTACTCACCGTTGTAAC